TCGATCTTACCTGGAAAAAATGAAACCACAATGCCAAAAGTTCTGTCTCAAGCTTAGGTTAAGCCCAACAGATGGCATGTGCTCGACAGGATCTCATTTACCAGACCTATAGTTCACCCCTTTATAACTTTTATCAAGCTCCTCCTACATTACGCCTAAAATCATTCTCATTCAGGGATATCACAGCTCCTCCCCTGTGGGTGTATATTCCCTGTCAGTCAGTGACTGTACAACAAGTTTGAATTCCCACGCTAGGATCTCCTGGTCAATTCATCTGACCAGAGCAAATAAGACAAGTCACACCTCTAGTCTACTTCACCTGTCATCACAATAAAATCCGACTTTGTCAATTCTTCTGCCAACACTTTCCGCTCACTGTGTCAATAGTGACGATCTGACCGGCACTCCAGTTTAGGTAACCTCAGGGGGAGATAATGGCAATTAGCCCTTGTTATCTGTTCCTGAAGATCTGGCAGGGGGAATAACTATCTGACACCAACAAATGGTGTGCAAATCTCCAGTCAGTAAGTCTGCTTGGTCAGTCTTATCTCTGTACCTTAACACTTAACATCTGGGAAAAAGTTGTAGTGTTTGATATGACCAACGGTCCAGGAGAATTAAAGGTGTGATGTGGTCGTCATTAAGGATGTATCCAAATCCCTATTTTCCTGTATACTTTCAAAATACAAAGAAATAAAAGTAGGTTGAAGAAAGACATTCTGGAGTCACCGAGCGTATTGTCACAGGCAGATCAGTGACTGACGGATGCAAGACTATGATATTGTATATTTGGTTGAATCCTAGGTAATGCTCAACATACCTATGCTCTTCTTCTTCTTCTTCTTCTTCTTTGCGTTCGGTTTCGTATGCTCAGATCAGACCATCAGGTTGGTTGCCTCTATGAACTCCTGTGTCAGTAGCAGGTCCTTCACGGTTCCACATAGCTTGCTCTGCACACTTTGCTCTTGAGGCCAAATGTCTTTTCGAAGTTGTATGTAGAGTGGGCAGGTCGGCAGAAAGTGCTGAGGTGTTCGTGGTCCTGTTTGACAGGCACACTGTGGGGATTGTACAATCTTTTTTCATTCATGTGTTAGTTGAGCCTGCAGCGTCCTGTTCGTACACGATACCTAAACTAAAGAATGGACAATCAGTAAGCGGTGAACAGTAAAGGAGCATTCTCAACATCAAAGGCCAGCGCATTATACTTACTTATGCAGGAAGCAGTGAAAAGGGCCTAATCCACGATGCTGGACTTATTTTTCAACAATAAGTACGCAGGCTAGGGACTACCGCACTGAACTGAATGAATACATTTTAAGGTTCTGGGTGGAGAATATCCTCCGATTCTGGACAGACCTTTGTGCCTATTAATGGATAACACCACCCTATTATAGGAAGACCAAGTACCAACGAAATCCAAAATCAAAAGATCAAATTAGGACATGGCTGGTTAAAGAACAAGTCAACTTTGACGACACATATTTGAAGGCAGGGTTGTTGTAGCTTGTGAGCAAAACAAATAATACAAAGGTGTATCACACTGACAAAATCAATAATGAATTCGGCCACACTTCTCTGCTACTCTCTGCATATCATTCACACCTCAACCTGACAAAGCTTTTTTGGGCTAAAGGAACTGGCTGTTATTCAACATCCTGAGCTACGTAATATCACTATTTTTGCCTCATGGATATTCGAAGGCTGCATGCAAGAAATCATTGCGTTCTAACGCTCAGTTTTTTGAGGAAATGGCTTGGAAGTGTGTTTATGAAAAGTTAAGCGAACTATAATTTGGGAAGTGGTGTCCGTATACCAGATAATTTTTCCAGATTCGAGTGCCTGAAGTACTGCTCTTGCATCTGCCAGGAAAACCATAGTTGTGGCAATACTTTTCTGTTAGTAATTTGGATGTATCATCATCATCATCATCATCATCATAAACCACTTTCGCCGTTAAGCTTTGTGGGGAGGAATAATTTACGATTGAATGCACGTTAGCTCCCACCGGCTATTGTCATGCCGTGAAGTCGTAGAGTGTCTTTAATGTTGTCGGTCCATTTTCCGCGGCCGTCCTCTTGCTCTTGTCGCTGATCTTCTGAGATCTAGTGCTTGTGATGGTTTTTGATCTTGCTGCATTCTAACGAGATGGCCAAACCACTTGATCTGCTGTTTCTTGATGAAACTAGTACAAGGTGTCGTTCCCACAATTTACTTGATAGTTTAATTTATTCACTCGATCTCGGATGGTTAGGTTGGCTGCTTTGCTCAGGCACCTCATCTCGCAGGTGGTGATTTTGCGTATATGAGCTTTAGATAGTGTCAATGTTTGGCACTGGTAGCTTAATGTTGGTATAAATATGCTGTTAATAATATGTCTCTTTGCACTTATAGTTATGCTTGGATGTCTTAATAATGGTGACAATTGGTATATAAGTGCACTTGCTTTCAGACTGGATCTATATCTGGTATTATTTGGATGTTCAATGTACACTCGTGTTCCTCCATTTATGCTTGCGTTTTTCTGTCCCATCCGTGTAGATACGAACCCAAAGATCCTGTAGGTTTTCATCATCAAGCAGACTCAGGGTGGCTGTTTTACGCTGCACACTGTTTTGTTCTGCTTTGTCGAATTTCACTTCTGTCTCAAAGTGTATTTGCAATGTATAATCCTCTCTCCGGGTCCTTTTTTCGAATAGCATTTAAGGAGTTATTAGTTGCAACAGATCGGTGGTTTGACCGCAGAATCAATCGTTAGGTCTGGTTGATGAAACTGCTTCTTTTTAGACTTCTCATTGCTAGATTTGGGAATCTTTCTTTCATAGGGTGTTCAGGCATGCTACAAAACCTTTCTACTTGTATTAGTATGTTGGTGTCTCTGCGTTCTGTCAGTGTTTGGGTATCGCCATCTTCTCCATCACAGCTATTTGTGTTGATTCCATTCCATGACTTCGAGTGTTTGATGTAGCACCTTGTCTAACTTTTGTAGAGTTGTTTTTTGATATTGAACTCCATACAGTCGACCTGACCTATGGTCAAGGTGTGGTCGTACCCTTTGTTGATAAGCTTTCCTAAATGTTTTGCCCTTAGCACCCCATGTTGTTCAACTTAGTTTTCTCAGTATAGCTATCCTCCTTCTGGCTTTGGTTGCTGCTTTGTTGGTGTGTTTTCTCCATGTTGACTATCATCAAACTGGACACCGTTGTATGTGGACTGCGTTTCTTTTCTTAGTGGTGCGACATTTGTCTGAGTTGATGCTGACACGCCATTTATCAGCCCATGCAGCTATTGTATCTGTGGATCTTTGTAGCAATCTAGTGGCCAATGTTGCATATTTTTATTTGTGCACCATAGTACCAAGTCGTCAGCATACATTGCAACATTAATACCATGGGGTAGTTCAGCGATTAGGTCGTTGATATAGACCAGAAAGAGTGTTAAGACAGGACACCACTTTGGGAGGAGGGGGGGAGGGGCACTATGGCTCCTCTGTTACACAAATAGGCTTTTAGCTATCTGTACATATTCTCATTCACTTTGTAGTTTCTTAGTTTTTTTCAGGAGGCCTTCTTTCCAGATCTTGTCAAATGCTTTCTTCAGATCTATCCATGCCACAAGCACTAGTTTCTTTTCTTTCAAGGCATCCTCAGTTTCTTGAGAGAGGTAAGCTATCTGGTCTTTTGTGGAGTATCACTGTCTAAAACCTGCCTGCTGCGGTGTGAAGATGTTTTCACTTTCCATGTCCCACTGAAGTCTAAGATTGACAATGTGTTCCATTGTTTTACAGAGACAGGCTGATTGATCTATAACTGGAGGCATTGATACTGTCCTTTTTAGCTTTCTTTCTTTCTGTTTCCACATCATTGTGCATTTGCTCTAGATCACAATTCCAGTATGGTCTATATTGCTTACGTGCACCTCTTGGTATTGTTTCCAGGGTTGCCTGCATATATTTATTTGCAGAACTCTTCGACTACTTTTTCTCTGTTTTCGTATTTTTTAATCAAAACACTGGTATGGTGCTGATACAATTTCATAAGGTTTTGTCTGCCTTCTTGTAACTAACTTTTGTTTGTGTACTGAGTCCCTTTGTGTCTTTTCTATCTGTGAGTCTTGGGTCAAAGGTTACTCCAGACTGGTTTTCTATCGCTAGAAAGACTGGGCAGTGGCCACCGCTTTCTTACATTAACGGCTAGTATGTAAACTATTCAGTTTCTATGTCTCATGAGTGTTTCAGAAAGGCCACACTTTCTAGTATCTTAGGTGTATTTGTCATGATCTCAAGGTCTAAAAACCACCTGTTCCTCCATTAGTAGAGGGAAGTAGAGTCGGTTGTTCAATAATCTTTCAAATAGTTTGTCCCACTGAAGTCATACTGTTGAGTAGCTGAAGGCATTGGTACTGTCCTTTTTAGGCGGGTCGGTTGGCCTCCAGGGTTGGAGGACGATGAATCTGTTTTCATTCTATCAGTCCTTCAGTTTATCTCCCCTCTGGTTTTCTATGACTTACCATAGAGTTCCTCAGGAACGGCTGTTGAGAATCGGTTGGCCTTTGGAGGACGATGAATCTGTTTTCATTCTATCAGTCCTTCAGTTTATCTCCCCTCTGATCTATGTTACCATAGACCCAGGAACGGCTGTTGACATCTCCACACACGATTATTCTTTCATTAGCTAATACTGTATTCAGTGTCTGAGGGCGGTCGCTCGGACAGTAATAGTTGATTGGTTGGAAATCTGTATTTTCTGTGTTGAGCTTAAGAATTTGATACTCTGCCCCTTCCATGTATGTTTCAGTTTGGCATACAAATAGGTTTTCGACTAGGGATAGTATTCCACCCTTTCTTCCGTCTTTTCTATTTTTACCTATGTACATACATGTTTGTATTTGCTTGCCTTTTTTAGTTACTTAGATAAGATGTGTCACTTAGAAGAATGTTAATTCTGTTAATCGACACGTCTATATACCGTTACCATTATTTGCTTTTATTGTTTATTTTTTAGCCACATACGAAGTCTTGAAAAAGTGCAATCTTAAAAGGAGGGCGTCTTCTATAGCTTGGGCTAAGCAGAAGCCTCTCAAGGCGAGACGAATTGAAACCAACATGAGGAGTAGAGTCATTACAAAAAGAGCTAAAGTTCTGGTAAGCAGTCAATGTTCAGACTAGATGAAATAGGTATTTGTAACACAAAACTAATAAATATGTCAGAGCCAAAATATACAAATTTGCAGGACATCAGGAGCCTCTCTTAGCAGTGGTGAAACGTCGCCAGCTAGCTTGGTTCAGGCATATGGGGAGACATGATTCGATTTCAAAGGCTGTGCTTCAATGGATAGTGAGGGGTAGTCGAAGAAGAGGAGGGCAAAGAAGAGCCTAGAACGACAACATCAAGAAAAAGACAGGACTAATTTATTATACACCAATTCATTAAGCGGAAAACAGAGAATGATGGCGGGCTTAATGTGCTGGTGCTTTGACCGATACATCTCCATGACTCTAACAGATCAAGGGTTATGTAATCAGGCAGCATGCTTCCTTTTAATAGTTCAGCGTCTAGGGCGCTAAGTGGCCTCGAGTTATGGTGTACGCTGGAGATCTGTGGGTAGTAAGATAGGTAGCCCGTGTGCTTGGCAGTTGGAAATGGAAAAGAGTAGCCAAACGGCACTGCCCGGGCAAAACTTGGAGTTTAAAATCTACCTAAAGTATTTCAGTATCCTTGCCGGTGTAACGGAGTTAGTGCACTGCGATGAGATTCTTCAGACAGGCTTGAGTTAGATGGAGAACGGAATACTAATGGATTACAGCTGTGTGCCATGATGTTGATCCGTCTAATAAACAGTTTAGCGTCTATAATGAAATTATCGATGATTATTTTACGTAGACATAGTGATGAAAAATGCTCTGTGCTGGGGTGCATAGTGCCTTGTCTTAAAAATAGTAAAAGAACAGTGATGACCATCTTTACAGTACTCCGGACACACTCATAGGTGATCCGATCTCCTTATAATAGCTGTATAAACGTAAAACAACTCAATTAATCACAGTTAAAACTACACACACACACACAGGTAAACCTGAAGTTACTCTATGTGTCAGCGAAAAACCTTACAGTATGTCTATCGCTGTTCCTTGTGACAGTAGCGAAACAAGCTGCACTCTCGGCATAGCCAGCAACAAACATGCAATAAAACCGCAAGGCAGCTTTCGGAAGTGCCAACACAAAGAGTCCGCTACTAGAATTGCAGTTTAGTGTCGTTGGATGTGTGGCAACAAGTAACCGCTTGCCATTTTCTGAAAATGTAGTTCACAGTATATACCAGGCTAGGCACAGTCTGGGTAGGTAAGTGCTTTGCTAAAAAAAAAAAATCTTCTCGTTGCAATCTTCCCGAAGGGGAAGCTTAAGGTTATAATTGTGATTAGGTTATGTGAGCCAGATAAACTGGCCTAGTATTGCATACCACATAGAACCCTGATGCGATCTAAGGAGACAGACCAAATAATGTTCCGACCGGCGATGGAGTCGTCCATCGGCGAGAAAATCGGCGATCCGGTCTGAGATGTGGGGCACAGTGGAAAATCATTCCAAATTAAATACCCAGCTCACAGTCTCGCGCTTTGCACTCAGCTCAGTAGCTGTGTGACGGAATGATATCCTTTCAGTCTAATATGGAGAAAAAATGCAATGGACAACTATTGCCAGAAGCAAAACCTTGCCACGACTAAAATCAGTAAATTAGTCGATCCTCCATTTTGACCCTAACTATTTAACCTGTTAACTCCCCGGGGGTGGATCATTGTGCTGACTGACTCTTGCTGGATGTTTGAATACAAAGTAGGGAACGCTAAATTATATAGTTTTTCAAACCAAGTGATGTAGTTTTAATTCTAACGTTATTTTATTTTTAACACCATCCTATCAAATTTGGAGAACCACAACAGTTAAATCCATTCGAAAACAAATGCCTGAATAAATTATTAAACATTAAATTAGATGAGTTCGTAAAAGGCAAAGAAATAAGAGATATATGGACAACCGCTTGTATCGACAGTTATAAGGCAGAACAGCAGGCAGTACATTGCGAAGAAATGGACAGCGACAGCACGAAACAGGTAAATACAAGAGAAGCTGATTTTTGAAATGAGGTCCTCCAAGAGATACCCTAAGACTGACATCGGTGAGAGGGGCCAAAAGTGCTGGAGATGATTACCATTCGTGATATCGAAGAAAATAATTAAGCAGAGGTGTTGAATGGAAACATAAACCACAAACCCTAGGTAACGTATAACAGGGTGATGATTGTGGTGCTTGTGGTGATGATGAGGGTGATGACAATGATGATAATTTACGTTTGAAACATTTGCTGACATAAACAAAACATACGTTGGCTCACAACCACTGACATTCCTGAGATAATGGCTTTACCCAAGAGATGTCCTTGGCGTGGGAAAGCAAACCATAAATCAGGCAATATCACACAAACACACAAAATCACTTAGCTTAGTATCTCGAAGCGGTCAGGTCGATGTCTTGCCAGTAGACTGACGCGACATGTATTCGCCAGGGGCCGTAACTGGAGATTTTGGATAAAACTGTGTGGGCAGTTCAGTCCCCTAGGATTTTTGATAAAACTGTATTGGCAGTTCAGTCCTCTGGGTGTTAATATGCCCTAAGTGAAAATAAAGCGATTTTCAAGAGACTTGCGGACTCCTCTGGAGTGGCTAGATTTGATGGCTGTCACCTCCATGTCGTAGCCACCTTGTTGATCCCTGAGTACTGGTTTCAAGGCACCGTTCTGCACATCCAAAAGATGTTGCCTGAACCTGTCAGTTAGTCGTAGACCCGTTTCACCGATGTATTTTATGCCATATCTCTTGCAGCTAGAAATGTAAATGACATTGCGGCTCGTGGAGTAGAATGCTTCACGTATGTGGAAGGTGGCATTCGGGAATTACAGACTTGTCCCCTGAATCACATATCGACTTGAGGTTACGGTCACTAGAGGAGGTTCAGAGGAAATCGTGCTGGCGGTAGGGTCAGCCCTAAGGATGGAGAGATGCTTAAAGATAATATGGTGGTTATTTCAACCTCTTCTTTTCCTTGGCGTTCACCAGATGTAAACTACAGGGAAAAGTTCCAGTTGTTCGTCTACTCCTAAACCACAATTTTGTTCCAGATCTTGAGGTTTGCTTTTACATCCGTTTTACATGCCTATGCAGACTTTTGTTTGCACGGCTTTCGGGCACTCCGAATTTAAAAAAAAAATGTTTTTGGCCATTTTGTCACTTTTCCGCTCCTTTCCCATCTCTCTTTTCATTCCTCTTTTCCCAAAGACATTTCTCATACACTGTTTTTCTCCTTCTTCTCAAAGTAATTCACTTCTCTCGGGGAGGCCCTAAACTTGTGGTCCTAACTCCTCGACGTCAGCACTGTCAATTTTCAAGTTCACGTTTTTGCGCGAGAGACTGACAGCCAATCGTTGGAAAGGATCCTTAGACCATGAATGGTCATCTTTTAAAACGGTGCTCTGGTCTAGTGTTTTAAAGATCTCAATGATAAGAGGTCTATGGGCTAAATCAGAAAAGTTTCAACTACAGTTTTGCAGCAACACCAGTTCTAATATAGTAGCTGCATAGTTAACTCATACCACTCCTGAAACCAAATAAAGACATATCAAATTAAAAGGTTATATAATTATTACGTTAAAGAATACATTCGGTCACATTTTGGAAAAGGTAGTGGCAGACAAATTACAGGATTGCATAGAACACTTCGACTTTTGCAGACCAAAGTTACCGAAGTTACCGACCAAGAAAGCATGGGAGTTCATAGCAAAGGCAAATGGACGACGCCTAGTGCAACAAAGTCAAGCATGTGATATCACAATGTCTAGATTGAGAATGGAGGTGGAGACAGTCACTTCGGCCTTCCGCTGGCTTGAGTGTCAGCTATACACACATGCCGTGATTGTCCGAGTATGTTGAGAAAGGTAGAGACAGGCATGATCCGTGTAAAGTAGCAAGCATCACTTCAGAGGTCCCGGATAGTCAACATCCTATGGTTATTTTTTCCTGGGTATGTCGGTGTGTTGGAAATGTGCAGGAGATGGACTGGCCGGTTTTGCACCACTTGGTGGTGAATTGATGTATGACAAGCTAGATATCACGAAGGCCCTTTGAGAGAGAACTTTGCGGAAGCATAAATAGATCATTACAGTCTGAGGAGAATGGCGCTGCAGGAAGTTACAAGGTGATCTGGTCGATGCTCAACATTTGAAGGAAGGGCGAGACAAATATAAAATCAAATAGTTACTGGTACCTTGCTGCTAAAGATGGGGACGGAGCGCTTAAGTGGTTGTTTAATTCAACATTCGTTCAAGAAAGGAGATCTGGGAAAATGCCGCGATCGTTGCTTATAATTTGTATATATAAATACTCGTATATATAAGTAATTTCAGAATTAGCTGGAAAGAGTGGTGGCGACAGTGGATCTAGAAGATGCACATATCAGGGTTAGCTGTGAGGTTTTACATTACACATATATGGGCTATGGTGGTCAATCCCAAGCTGGTTAATTGGGTTGTGGCAGAATACATTTCATCTAGTTTCGTTGAGCTCTTAACCATAAAGTATAGTAATCGCCTCTCACATGGTTTCTCTGTCTTCTCTGTGCTTTTCTGTGTGTACAAAAGCAACACAGCGGCAATAAGAGACAGTGGGTGTAGGAAGAATCTTGACTTTTGCTGAAGGTATATTAGTCTTAACATGGAAGAAAGAATGTAAATATCCAGAACAGTGAGGACCTCGGTAGATAATGTAGCTGAATGGTGAGAGGAAATAGGGTCGGTGATCAACCCAGGCAAAACATTTGTGTGGTGTTCTTTAAAAAATATAATTGTTAGAGATGAGCTTCCGAACATCACAATAAACGACAGCAACATAGCAAGAGATACTTTACTAAAATATCCAAGAATCACTTTTGACAGCAGTATGGTTTGGGATTGCTAACCATATCACAAACCCAAATGGAAGAGCTGAAAATTATCTAAAAAACAATCGAGCCTCTTTATGATGTGCACGCGATACGCCAATGGACTTACAGAGCATGCTTCGGAACACTGAAACTGGCGTCCTGTGCGCAGAAT